ATCAAAGTAGGGCGATGGTGGTGGCGGTAAGCCCTAGAATATTGCCCCCTCTTTGTTCTCTGTTGAAATAAACGATGAGATGAAAAAATAGAGAGAGAATCATGGTGAGGTCAATGTTAGCTCATTTCTCTTTTGGGGGGAGGGGTTGTTTTATGCAAAATGACCAACCAATTTAGATCTAATTTCAAAATCAGATCTAAAGCCTTGATCTGTCCACCTGACTACCAAGTAAACTTAGTTTACTTGGTACCAAGTAACTATATATGTAGGGAATGATGAGTGTGAGATGACAGCTTATTTTGCTAAATAAGCTACTAAGAGATAGAATGGTAAAGTCTACACCTTTTGATGTGACTAGTAAGGTGGGCCTCACCACATGACTAACTCTTGGTAGCTCATTTAGCAAAATGAGCCGTCACCTCATACCCATTATTTTCTAAATATATCATATTTGGAAATGTTGGGTCATATACTACATAAGACAGTGTCCAGTGATCCCGATCAGTAACATTTGTGCATATATGTGTGGATGTGTCTGTATATGTATGTGTGTGTATTTTTCTTTTTTTTTTCTCTCTCATTTTCTTTTAAACCAAACAAAAGAAGCCACTTCCTCTCATTTTCTCTCGAACCAAAAACAGCCTTTATGATTTTGGTAGGTACATAATAAATTAATAGTCAAAGCCACAATCACAAATCTGCTTTATGAATTCCTCTTTGACCATCGATGTCACTAGTTGAAACATGCATCGTCACAAGAAGCATGTCTTCATATTTCCCTAGGACATCTATACAGATTTAGCTCCTTCTTTCTCTGTTCCCTAGTTGAAGCTTTCTTTACAGACTAAGCTCACAACATTGTATCGAGGCGCAAGACGCAAAGCGGGGCGCAAAGGCCACTTATGCGCACCATGCGTAAGGCGCACAACAATGCGCGCGTCTCACTGAATTAAGGCGCACAACTCAAACTAATATTTTCCAACAAAAGACAAAGAAGCATATACGCAATATGTTTATAAATTAGTCACATAAAAAAACCAAGAAATATAATTTCACCGACTAAATCACGAAAGAATCTTAATTAACATGCATAACATAGAGAAGTTCATTAGTTTTCACAAATCACAATGCAAGATAATCTCCAACATAAGCAAAAGTCTATGAAAGAAAACAAGTAAGTAACAAATAAGAAATATGTATTTTTATTTAAAATATGATATATGTATTTTTAAGTAACAATTAAGTGATTAAAAAACATGATGTTCATAATTTTCTAATTAGCATTTTTAATTACTATTTGCTAGTTAGCATGAAAAGATAGAGAATGGAGGTAACAATTACATATTTACATATGTTCATAATTTTCTATTTAGCATGCTAATTAGAGAAGGAAGTTACAATTAGCAAACATGTATACTAAATTACTAATTATTGTTTTCTTTTTTATAGGTTAAACATGAAAAGATGGAGAATGGATTAGCAACTAGCAATAGAGAGTCTATTACATGATGCAAATATGTAATATGTAAATTATTAAAAAAACAGAAGAAATAGTCTATTACATGACGCAGGTGTCGAGCGTGTGCGAGGCGCGCGCGAGGCGCACACGAGGTGCGCGCCTCGTGTGCGTGCAGCGCCCCGCCTCTGGTGCGGGGCGCAATTGCCCCAGCTCGCAGTGCCCCGCGCCCAGGGCGCGCCTTGGGTGCGCGCCTCGATAACAATGGTTCACAGATCAGCTTTTTGGCATTAGTTAAACTGGGTTCCTAGCTGAATAAAGCTTACAAACTTGGGTTTTGCTTTGTACCCTGTATGATCACCACAGTAGACTCATATACTGCCTTCTTGCAGAGGAAACTGACATATGAATTATTTAGTAAACCACTAATAGCAGGCTAAGTTAACATTCGTCCAAAAGATTCCTTAGGACTCCTTTGTCAATGGTATATCATGTTCTCTTTTTCACTATCTTTTTGTTGTGGGAATAAACTTACATAATACCTCCTTGACCAGATTTGAAATGCAAACTCAACACCTACTTAATTTTGAGTCTCTGTTGTAGCTATGCCAGGGATATCTTTGACCCCAGTGCTTTTTGGTCTTGAAGTTTGTATATGCACACTATCTTCAAGAGAGTTCCTCCTCTCAATCTTTTGAATATACTTGATTACACCTAGTAATTTGAGAACTCTTTGACCCTGAAGCACTGCAGATGTTCAGATCCCTAGAAATAAGGACTGCCTCCGAGAAGTATTTCCAAATTCATATTTTTTTATGCATATCTACTCATTCCACAATTATTTCTTACTAGGCACATAATGAATTAATAGAAGCTTGTGCACCATGTTCAATTGATCCGAATATATGTTCTGTAATCTTAAGGAACAAAATTACCCCTTCCACTACCCCAGCACTCTGAAGTTGTGGCTAGGATTCGGGTTATAATTTTAAACTCTAATATGCCTCCACAGGTTGAGTGACTTTTTCATTGGCTGAAACCTGAATTAGTTACATACACAGTGCTTTCTCTTAAGAATTTACTATAAATGCTTGTACGGTGGGGTTTGAACATGGGTTGCTCTGATAGCATGTTAAAATCCCTTCCATTGAACCAAAACTCTGAAGTTGCTGTGGAGGTGCAAGCTTATAATTTTATATTTCTAAAAAAGTATTCTTTTGCGTTGAGTTTGATCGACTTAAATTCAAATGACAACAAACCTCGTTGTAGGCTTGTATAGGAAGTGTGGACACTTTTCCTCCTGCAGCTCTGGGTTTCTAGTCAGATATATTGCCTGATATGGCGGGTTAAAGATGATTATTGTTTCGATGTTGTAGGGTTACATATGCCAAGGTGATGCTTTCATGGCCATGGAGGAGTGGGCTGCTGCTGAGGAGGCCTATTCAAATGCTCTGCTGATTGATCCATCTATTCATGGCCATGGAGGAGTGGGCTGCTGCTGAGGAGGCCTATTCAAATGCTCTGCTGATTGATCCATCTATTCGCAGATCAAAATCATTCAAGGTACCTTGAGGAGGCCTATTCAAATGCTCTGCTGATTGATCCATCTATTCGCAGATCAAAATCATTCAAGGTACCTCTCACCCTTCTCATAAACGTATTTTTGTTGCTTTAAATACACTCTTAAGTCCATCTAAATTTAAGCCACTTCTCGTGTCTCAGGCTAAGGTCACGAAACTTCAAGAGAAGCTGGTGGTTTCTGATGCATCATCCTGACTGCAACTGTGAGTTTCTGTTTGCATCATCTTTTGATAACTAGAGATTAATAATCATATTCGATTACAGTTCAGATAGGACTTCTAATCTATGAGGCTGTTCGTATCTTTGTTAGAAAATGGCTATGTAATTTTCCTGGTTTCCGTTCTTGATAGTCTTTACCCTTAAGAAATCTGAGTATATAACTTGTACAGCATGTAATTTATATGAATTGCGTTGACTTGGTAATATGTACATTGATAAACAGAACATTTTCCTTGTATCTCTGCCACCAGAGAGCTTGTAAAGTGCATAAAATGATTTGATTTTGAATAGATTTTTCTTTGTGGAGGAAATTGCCTACAAGCTTTTCAGTGGTCCTTATGGACTAAGATGGACAGCTGCAGAGTTTTCTATAATTGAGATCATTCATTTATATTCTTTATATCTCTTTCTTATATCTAAAGGAGACCCGGGGTTTTACCTTGTTGGTAGGCCAGCCTGGTAGATTGGGGTCCGGTTGGGTCGTCTTGGTCCACACACTGCTCGCCATGTGCAAGTGGGTCACGCTGGTCCTGGCACGTGGGGATGAGCCCCCTAAGAATAATTGGGCGAAGCTCCTTGCAGTTGTGGAGGGATCGGGGGGACTCGATCTGTGGTCTCCGCCCGACCCAAAAGTAGGGCGCTGGAGTGCTAACCGGGGTTCCCTCGTCACCACAAAAAAAAAAGGAGCTTGGCGAGTTGTTCTCCATTAGATTTATGTTGAAACTACATTGATTGTTAAGCAAAATGAAAAATCCTGCTGTTAATGAAATCCTTGGGCATCTCAGTTCCATAATGGAAATTGTCGACTTCAAATTAGTGACAAGAGGGCCTGCAAGTGAGTATAACGGGTGCTCTTTTATGCAAACGGAGTTCTTGAAAAATGTATTTTCTCAATCGCGACTCTTTCCGTGTGCAGCGAATATTTCTGGTTTATGCTTTCAATGTACAATTCGCAACATAATAAATGAGAATTGTGATTGTATTTTCATTTTGTTTGAAGAAGGCTGCAGCATCGTCATCAATTTGAACGTAGCAAATACTGCAATAATTTGTAGTGAAAGAAAAAAAATAATTAATATAATTACTTACCACGTGGTATTTTTAACATACATCTGTTGTATTTGTACTTGTGACATACAAAAAAATTGTACATTTCGAGGTCAGATAAAAATCTTTTGTTTTTGACATTACTTCGAAGTTAAAAGAGAATTTTTCAAAAATATAATATAATATAATACAATGTTACATTAAACGCTGGGCGCTTCTAGGCGTCAGACTTGACGCTCAGCGCTTAGTCGTCTAGGCGGGCGTCTAAGCGGTTTCTGGGCGTTTTTTTTTTCTTTCTTCATTTAAGTGGTGATCGATGAGATTTTGCTGAAGGTCGGAGGAGGTAGTGGAGATATTCATATTTGGAGATTAATGGAGTTTGGAGGACGTGTAGGCTACGACACATAAAATCACAATCAATGTCTATAGGGTGCAATCCACATAAGCAGACAATGCTCCCCTAAACGCTCGTAGAATCTAGATGGGCAACCTAAATACCGTCTAGGCGCTAGTTAGGCGGTCTAGGTACCGTCTAAGCCTAGGCGTACGCCTAAGCGGACTAGGCGGAGGTTTTTTAAAACAGTGATATAATATATAAATTAGTATTTGGTATTTTGTTTTGAATCTTTACTGATGTGCGCTACTATAAAACAACGTGCCCCTAAAAGCAGTTGGATACTTTACGGAGATAGAAATTTATTACCAAATCAAAAAAAAAAAAAAAAAAGCACAAACCAAATGCTCCTCTTTAAACTACCAGCATGTGCAACAAAACCCTCACTATTCTCCGCTCTCATCAAGAGCACCCCATTAACAAATACCTTCACTTGCTTCGACAAGGACTCTCCCCTAATCAGCACACGTACCCATCACTCCTCAAATCCCTCTCCACCTCCCAAACCCAGCACCCATCTCAAGTCCATTCTCACATTTTCAAATTCGGGTTTGATTCGGACACGTTCATTAGCAACTCTCTGCTCTCAAGCTATTCTAAATTTGGTGATCTGGCCAATGCCCATCAGCTGTTCGATGAAATGCGTCAGAGAGATTCCATCTCTTGGACCTCTATGATTCGTGGGTGTGTGAAGAATGGTATGCCCAATGATGGGCTACGCTTGTTTTATGAGATGAGGAGTTTCGGTGTCGAAATTGACGGGGTGATCGTCGTGAGTGTTCTCAATGGGTGTGGAATGGTTGGAAATGTTCGCTTGGGCCAATGTGTTCATGGCTCGTATGTAGAATGTGGGAGAGTGAGGTGGGATTTATATATAGCAAGTGCCTTAATTGATATGTATGCTAAATGCGGTGATTGTGATGGTGCGAGAAGAGTGTTTGATGAAATGCCCTGTAGAAATGTTGTCTCGTGGACTTCGTTGGTCTCTGGGTACATACAATGCGCAAGGTTTCAAGACTCTGTGTTGGTCTTTAATGGCATGCTTTTTGAAGGTCTTGAACCGAATCTGATGACGTTGACTAGCGTTCTGACTGCATGTGGTCATCTAGGAGCATTGGAACAAGGGAGATGGGTTCATCGTTACATCAACAGGAACGGTCTGGTATTGAATTCTATTGTTGGGACGGCATTGATTGATATGTATGCAAAGTGTGGATGCATAGATGATGCTTTCAAAGTTTTTAACGGTTTGTCACAGAAAAATGTATACACATGGACTGCCTTGATCAATGGTTTGGCGATGCACGGGCTTCCATTCCAAGCTTTGGATCTGTTCTCTCGCATGTTGAAGGAAGGAATTAGACCAAATGGTGTCACATTCTTAGCTGTTCTATGTGCATGTTCCCATGGGGGTCTTGTGGATCAAGGGAAAATGTACTTCAATCAAATGCTTGAACATTATGAGATCAAACCAAAATTAGAGCACATAATGAAGCTTTGGAGCTAATAAGAACGATGCCTCTGGAGCCGAGTGCTGGTGTCTGGGGTGCTCTATTTGGTGCGTGCATGATCCATAAAGATTTTGTTTTAGGCGAGATAATTGGGAAATACCTTGTTGAAATGCAACCGTTTGGTAGTGGTGGCTATGCACTATTAGCAAACATGTATTATTGTTCCCAGAAGTGGGAGGAATCAGCAAGTTTGAGAATAACAATGAAGAGGAGAAGAGTAGAGAAGGTTCGAGGTTGTAGTTTTATTGAAATTGATGGTGTTCTTCATCAATTTATTTCGTCTGATGAATCTCATCCCCACTCTAAAGGAATCTATGAAAGTTTAGCTGCAATGGCCATTCTGATGAAATTACAATGGTGTCCTTTAGATTGTTTTGTGGTGTTATTCGACATGGGTGTGAGATAAAGTACGGATCTGCTTGCATTCTCTTGATTGAATTGATATTTAAATCCAAATACACTTTTCCTGTATCTATGAGTGTGATATAGATTGCATCATGCTATGAAATCAAAGTTGCAGAAAGTTATTAGTGTGGAAGATGAGAATTTCTTGACACAGAATCGAACTTTAGTTTACAAATTTTGGAATAGTATCGGGTCCTTCATAGAAATAATCTAACGATAATTTTTCATATTTCTACAGATGTTCACGGCATAATCCTCGTGTTACCCGTTGATCAATGTTGCAGAATCGGTATGTTATTTCCATTCTGATTTTTTTTTTTTCTTACATAGTTACATAGCTCATTTTTTTGTGAAGTTCATTAAGAAACAAAAACATTGGTCATGAATAACAGGTGAACTCTCATACTCGAATTGTGACATTCAAGCTTTCAAGCTTCCATTCCAATCATAAAAATCTCTAAGCTAAGCTAGCTTAATGACCTAGACTTCTTCATGTTTGATATCTTTTTGCATACAAAACTGCACCTACTACGTTTCTTTTGGAAGTCTAGAGACAAACGTTTAGTTATAGATTTTAAATTGCTTATATATAATAGGCAAGCACATGCCCTTACTCTCAGGCATGATGTGGGTTTCTTCAGGAAGCTTCTAAACCAAAATACGTGGAATTAAGAAACCCAATACGTATCATTTGTCAATTTATACTTAGGTATTTTGTATATAGTCTTACACAAAAAATAGATTATTCTACTAATTCAAGAAAACTTCATCCTGTTCTCCTTGTTATAAAGATTGAATCTCAAGTAAAGGAATCTGGAGAAGAAATGAGAATGACTACTTCTTTCATTTCCCATGTGCACAAGAAATCGATTGAAAGTTACCATATCGACTGCTTTAAAATAGAATGAGTACGTATTTGACAAACAGTCTGCAAGTTTTATGATCTTATTAAGTTAAACTTATTTGCAACGTATGACAACTCGTAATTTTCATTTCTGTTCTCCTACTATTTTTATTGACCGGGGCAAACAAACATACCTTTTTCGCTTTCTCATTCAGCATGAATTAGTTGTAATTTTATACTGCGACTTACTATTCAAGTTTACAGGCAAATTGTTGGATTAATTTCGTTTATGCAGCCTTTTAATTGTTAGTATTTGTAGCTGTGTCAATTTAACAATTACAAGAATCTGAACTCACTAGCTGCTGGCTAAATTATATACTTTCGCTAAGAATATGATTATGAGAAAGTATCCAATAGTAAGATTGGTGCAAAATCACTCAGTTCACTAATGGTACAGTTCTTAAATGCAACATTAATATTATGGACATAAACCGTTGTATATACATCAATCTCCTTACAAGTGGGGATGAGTAACTATTCGCCAACATAATGAAAAGTTTTAAGTCTTACCTTTTAATTATAATACTCGCGCTATTATCATTCTTTCTATGTTGCAAGAGGATTTTTTATTCAAAATTGTAAATACCAACTATTAAACAAATGAGGTCTAGGACTCTAGTCTTTGATTTAGATTAAATTCAAAGAACGCATAATAGCTTGCTACACAGCTGATCCCACTTATTTTTGATGCAGAAAGAAGTGCTCATGCTCCAAAGGTCAAGTTGGTTATCAGTAACATCAGAGGTTGACAAGGACCCAAACGCCAATTTTAGGGTAATCAACAATCAATATGAATGTAGATTGCACAACCCCCATAAAATAATTTCTCACTCTTTGCATTTATTTATAGATGTCTGACAATGTATACAAAAAGAAAATGCAACTAATCCCTAACTGATTGAGACATAAATATTTGAATTACAAAAACAATAATAGCGCAAAAGTATCTAATGATCCTCGTCTATAATATTATGAACTATTTAATACAGATATTCTTTTGGTGCATCATTAACATTATGCATAATTACAGCGAAAGTTGCATGTGTCCATTCTTGTTTTATGATGCATATAAAAGTGTCATTTTATTTGTAAATGATTAAATAATAGTGACACAAATAAAAAGTGTGGCAAATCATGACATATATTTGTGTCGTTAGATGTAAAATAAAATAAATTTGAAAAAGGCTAATAGTGTACACATTGATTGTGCGAGGATCAATTGATGGGTCTTAAATAATAAGTCCTAGATTTTAAGTATATTGATTATTAAACATACATGATAGTGTATAAGCTAAACAACTCAATTACTAAGTGTGCCTTTGTGAGAGTAATCCTAGGATGAGTAACCCACTAACTGGGAAGTTAAAGTGTTGAATGATGATACTCTTTATATTTTTATAGTCTAATTAAACACAACTATGTGTTACCACTCTTGACTCAATGTATGTGTTGCAAGTTCTGTGCCGTATGTATGTGTCACCAATCTCGAAAAATATATGTGTCGTGAGTTTTATGACACATATACGTATCACAAGTTTTGTGACATATTCTCACATGTGTAAAAATACGCTCTCCATACATTATGCTCTACCCACATTTTCGGAATGGATCGTGCTCCATTTGTGCGATATAAAAATGTGTTGCGTAGAGATAAAAAAAATGTATCATAATTTACAACTTTTTTTCTAGTGTTATTAGAGCCGATTATTGGTGATAAACGTGCTAATTTGCTAGGTTTGCGGAGACTAGGCATCCAACAACATCCGTATAGCTCTGCACGCCACAAACAAAAAAGTAACGTTATATAGAGTTATTATCCAGTATCACCCCTCTGAAGCTTAAACCAAGCTCTTGATAATGTGATGATTATTTTGACGATATCCTGAAGAACTTGTCGATTTTGAATCGAGACCAAAATCACCTACAACTCGGTTGGTGTGGGACGTAACTGTCAACATTAAAGATGCCGGCCAGAGTTACGAATTTGTTATAATTTGTACTCTGATTCATGCTTCATCTTCATTTAAGGCCATTATCGACCTTTTCAGCTAACATGAGTTCATTATACAGCTTATTGATGGCGTCGTTCATGTATTCATGGATTTTACTGGAGTCACTAGTACAAAACTGGGCTGTCCAAACGGTTATTAGAACCGTTTGGGCAAATCGAAATAGCCCAAACGGATACAACCGTTTGGGTTACTTATTCCAAACGGGTACAACTGTTTGGACTATTAGATAATCCCAAACGGCTCTCCCAAACGGTTTAAACTGTTTGGATATTTCAACCCAAACGGGTTACAACCGTTTGGGAGCAGGATGCTAGGGTAAAAAAAAATTGCCATTTTACTTTTTAGGACCCGCGCCCCCCAAACTTCACCCGCGGGTTGAAACATCTTCGCCGAAAATCGCCGAAAATCGCCCGCGCGTCCCCCAAAATTCACCCGCGCGTCCCCCAAAAGTATTTGATCGATCCCCAAAATTCACCAGCCTCATCTAATTGTGATCTTCGCCTCCACCTCCTTCATATCTACTCCCGATCGCCTCCGCCTCCGCCTCCGCCTCATCTTCGCCGGAAGCACATCCGCCTCATCTTTGCGCCGCTGTCGATCCTCCGCCGTCTCCTCCTCCGCATCCATCGATTCCTCCGCAGCGTTGGCCTTCGCCAATTCATAGGTTCGGGTCGTGTTGCTCCTCCGCCTCCACCGCCTCCTCCTCAAGTCGGCCCTTTATCCTCTGTAATTATCTACTCTCAACAAAACCCTAGACCTAATTAATTTGTGTTCGTTAGAGCTCCTACCCTCATATTAGATATTATTATGTTAACTTACATCATTGAGATATATAGAATGCTAATTTATATTGTTGCTGCTGTTGTGTGGTGTATATGCCTTCGGCTACACCAGTATATCATCGATACCTAGAGTTCTTTGAAATTTACCATAAGCCCATATCAACCAACTACAAGTCATGCAGAAAAATCCCAGCAAAGACCTCCAAGTCTGAGATGGTAAGCAGGGACATGGTGTTTGCAGTTTGCTTAACATGTATTTGTATGGTATGTACCACTTTGTTTTTCTGTTCTTTTGGAGTTTGGTGATGGTGATGATGTATCCGTAAAAGAATGTAACACTCCATGTGCTTCCTCTTCTTCTACTTTCCTTTTAGTTTAATCCAACTTTCTTTCCACCTACCATGGATTTATTCTTGACGTGTTTATTTTTGTGTCAGTGATATGGTAGCTAATAATTAATCTGTTAGGCTTGATAGGCCAATGCTTTGTTGGTGTAACTAGCTATTCCTCCAGTGAGATATGTCACATGGAGAATGATTTGGCAATAGCATATTTATATCAGATAATTGGATATGTTAGAATGATTAGTTTTAACCTATCAAACTGAAAAGTGCTTGATATATGCATAGGTTTGAGGGGAAAACTGACCTCTCTTGTCTACCTGCTTTGTAAACTCTTCTTCTTACTTATAGAAGGAACCCAAACAGTCTGTAGATCCAAAAACCTGGAGGAAAAACAAAAAAGATATACCGCTGTTAGCATCAGGAATTTACAATTAATGGCACAATTGCAGAGTCTGTCAATTGAAATTCCTCTCTGCAATGGAAATGCCGGAACTGTCAGGCCATAATAGAGTCCTAGTATGAATTAATAATACAGAAAGGTACTAATATTACTTAGAAATTATACCAGGATACAAGCGTGTGCACGTAAAATCTGACGCACAAGCATCGTGGGAGAATTCAAGGATGCAAATTGCAACAAATAACATTGAGAGACAAGCGTATGAACACTTCTGTCTGTGAAATTTCACTCTTATTGGCAACCCAAAATATCACTCTTATTGGCTATCATAACTTACTCTGCTATGAATCCTTGTAAGATGTTGACATCCAACCCAAAACAATGTAAACAATAACACACAAGCCTTGGCAAAACAATGTAAACAATAACACACAAGCCTTGGCAAAACAATGTAAACAATAACACACAAGCTTTGCCAAAACAATGTAAACAATAACACACAAGCTTCGCCATATGGTTTAAGCCATGACAAAAACAATGATATAGTGTTTAGTACTATATCATTACCAGGTTAAAGCAGCATGATCATTCATTAGTTTGAATCTTCCTGTCCAAAATAACATCGTTACCAGGCTAACGCGGCATGGTCATTTTGGACATGTTTGAGGTTCTGGTTTATTTGAACATTTGCCCATTATCAATAAAGATCTTCATATGAATTATTCAACCACTAGCTTATTTAATCATAATAATTACAACTCAGATAATTCATATTTTAGCTCCTGTGATATCCTTCTGAAACATTTAGAACTCATGTTGATGACATGCTTAAAGAGGAGCATGCCTTTTGCTTTCCGCCAAGTTTGAAAGATTTTGTTTTCATGTATCTTTCAAACCATGAGTTTGTTGGAGTACTTGCATTTTTCATGTCTTTTTGTGTGAGAGTTTTCTTGTTCTGTTGTCTCTGCGATAATTCTATAAAATTGTTGACTTCTACATAGTCCATCACATTTATCATGTCACTATTATAAAATCTTTATTATTTTCTGGCATATACTATTGTACACTAGTATGATGATATTTTGAAACATTTGATCTGTCTTCACCGTATTCACCTTATCTTCAGTACATGTCTTGTCAAATACATTTTACTTTCCTGGGAGGTTTCATTAACCTCAAAAGTGACCTTCCTCACTGATCTTTGTTGCGAATGATACACCCAAATTCAGCGCCTGCTTCTATGCAAATATTTTCTGTATGATTTCGTCGTTCTTCATTCCCGGAATGCTTATTTCAAATTTATGCAAACTATTACTCCATGAAAGTAATGTTTCTTTTGCTTAGCCATACAAAATTTAGGAATGTTCTAACTCCTTGCTCTCCAACATTTATCAAAAAAAAGGAATGTTTCTTTTGCTCTCCAACAGTTTGCAAATACACGTACATGTTTAGAAGTGACAGAGATATCATTATACCATGGATGTGGTTGCAGGCCCGAATATTGCAATTAGGGACAAAACCGATACTTGACCGACAAATGTGGCCATCGCTTCAAAAATCAACACACCATAAACATATGGATGCTGAAAGTTCAGAGAGAATATAGGCTTTGTTACCTGCGGAGAGGCCATCTCTGAGCAACATAGCTACATGCTGAAATATTTCCTTCTCTGTTTGTAGTAATCACGTATCCAACCTTTGATCAGCACCTGAGGAATAAATTCATGAGCTTGTTGGTTCAAAAACCATAGCTGGGTGGCCGGAGAAGTGAATTGACAAGAAAACTTGAGATCACAGTACCTAGTTCTGTCACAAGTGCAGTAACACTCTCTGAGATGTTCACCAGCACGCTGTTGTAAACAATAAAGATGCACATCAAACTCCTAATCAATAGGTAAATATAAGCAACTCTGCTGTGTGTATCTGCAGATACACACTGCTGTGTATCTGCAGTGTGTATCTGCAGCAGATACACAGCAGTGTATCTGCAGCAGATACACAGCAGAATCTTACTTTTATTTTGTTTTTATTTGTTTCTTAAATATATCTACTTTTGCATTGTCGACTTACAGTTGACTACTTTATATTGTGTAGAATCGAGTCATCCAGGAGGCAACCTTATCAGGGGTCGATTCAGCCACAGAGGACAATGCACTTTGTTTCACTCAGATGTTAGATTCCCTGCACGGAGAGCATCACGGCGGTTATGAAAGAGACATGGGCATTGGTGCCACTCGGACTTACTTGAGGACGTCCTCCATACCGGAAATCGACACTTCTAATCAGGAACTACGTCGCGAGGTGGCTGATCTTAGAGCTCGGGTAGCTGAGATGGATAGTCTCAGGGAGGAGCTTAGGGAGGAGCTTAGGGAGGAATTTAGGTCTCAGATGCATTTGATTACTAACAATATGGTACATACACACTCTCGCATACACGTACATTGGCACAAATATGCATACATCTTATACACGTAAATATACGCATAGACTTAACACTCAGACAATTATACACTCATACATTGCTACTATTTTATAGGTTAATTCTCAGGGCGCTCGTTCTGCTCCCACTCGTAGTGATCCATCAGCTTTTACGCGACCGGCTCCAATTCATCAGCCCGCTACCGATATACCTCATTCTGCTCGTCCTGCTTCGACTGCAAACACTTCTACTTCCAGTGCTCAAGGTTTGTCACATGAGAATATTGCTAGGATATTTGCAGACTTAAGGCGTTCGGGCTTGTCCCAAGAGGATATTCTTCGAGGAATTTCTTCTGTTCATTGATTGGATGAATTAGACTATTCCTATCTTATATTTTGGATGTATGAGACATTTTGGATATTAGAGACAAATATATAATATTGGATACTTTTCATTGTGAGATACTGAGTAATTATTGTGCATTTATCTCTAATATTGCATATTGAGTAATTATTGTGTATTTATATATAATATTGAATATTTAGCATCGCTTGAGATATTTTTGTGTATGTATATGTTTTTAATTCATTGTGTAAAATGTGTATATTAAATATAAACAGGTAAAAAAATAAAATAGCTGAAATGAAAAAAAAATATTAAAATTAATAGGCCAAACGGTTAAAACCGTTTGGCATATACTGAGGTCCCAAACGGGTGTACCCGTTTGGGACAGCGTTATATGCCAAACGGTTGAAACCGTTTGGCATATATCGCTGTCCCAAACGAGTGTACCCGTTTGGGAAAAATATTTGGCCAAACGGTTTTAACCGTTTGGCCTATTAATTTTAATTTTTTTTTTCCATTTCAGCTATTTTATTTATTTACCTGTTTACATATAACCGTTTGGGAGGGGGTTTTCCCAAACGGTTCCAACCGTTTGGGCAGGCCAGTTTTGTACTAGTGAGTGTTTCTTTTTTAAGTGAACTAGTATCGTGTACGTGCGTTGCACATAGGCACACTTGTTGATCAATTTTTTGGAATTCTTTTGGTTCTATTAGGTTAGAAAGCGGATAGTTATTAAAATATTATAGTAATTAATAAAGAATTAATATTTATTCAATGAAATGAGACTTAATGCATAAAGATTAAATGGGTATATTTGTAGGAGGTTATGAATAAGTTATTTTTATCGAAAACAATAATTCTCTGCATAGAAAATTAGCTTACACATGTTTTTATTATAAAATATAAACTATTTGTAAAGCAAGAAACTCAAGTACAATTATATGTGAGAGAGGGATGCCATTTTGAAATTATCTTTCTAGAAATTATTAAACCTCCTCTAGTTTATTATTAGCTATTAGAATCTCCCAATTTATATTTGATACTTGCAATTTATATCTCTAAAATTGCATTTCAAGGACATTAAGTGCTAGTATATTGAGGAGGATTTAGTGCAACTCAAGATATAGAAGAGGGAATTATGTATAATTTTTCCTATTTGTTATAATAATGCAATTTACAAATGGTTAAGAAGACAGTGGAATAGTGAAAAGTTGACGACTTTTCATATTATTGTAATGTTATATTATATATTTATTTATTTGAATTAGTAAATAAATAACTTTTTACTCATATTATATTTGATAGTTGCACATATTTAATAATTCATATAAATATTATATATTAATGTGATATCAATATGTATTATAATTATCATACATTAACTATTATACTCAAATAGTAGATTAATAGCAGAAAATTAATAATTAATAGCAGAAAATTGATAATACTCTTAAAATTGTAGTAGTAATCCCTTCTATAAGCATCCTCAGGACCAACTAACTATATCATTTTCTAAATTGATCTTCTTGTACTTTCTATTTGTCCTTTATAACCCAATAATATCAATGTAGTACCTTAATGATCATAGAACGAAAATTAACCCTTTACATATATAGAGTGAAAGCAATTACACTTATAATGCATTGTCATGGACAAAGCTTTCTTTATCCCGAGAGTAAGCATAATGCATTAAGAGATTCAATCAGACTATACAAACAATTTAGCATATTTACAAACATGCCTAGGAGTTGGAAACCAATTTACATGCTAAGGTAAAAACATATACGAAGATGGAAGGGGGAAAAACCAATTAGTTTATGATTGAAATAGTTGCAGATTTTGATAAAATACATGACCACCTTCTTTGTCACCTTCACCGATTTTTTCTCTGCTCTCTAAGTTGTTACACTGATGCTTCCATTACCATCTTCTCATTCAATTCGATCATACTCCACCAGTGATGTTACCATTGACACACTCACACTTCTTGCGGTTTGTAAGTGCTGTAATTGTGTCTCCTTACTTTTTAATATGAATAAAATTTGATTAAGAGTTTGAATTTTGGTTAGAGGAATTTGATAAGATTCTATAGTAATTTATAGTGACTTATGGAAGGGGAATAATTATAATGTTTTTCATTATTAGTGTGTAATGTCAAGACTTAGTGGTGGAATGTTATTAGTGGGTGGTCAAATAAAAATTTGATGGTAATAAATAGGGAGGTTATGAAAAAGTAAGTATGTGCATATCTTAATGTATGCATGTATGGATGTGCTAGAGATGTATGCATGTATGTATTTCGGAGGGTATTTTTGAAAGAAATGTTTTAACATGGCAACACACTTTTATAATAGTATTAAATTAGATTAGAAACTAGGGTCGTCCAAATCGCTGAGATTATTTTGTAGGAATTGTGATAATTGGATATAGGCTCCACTAAATAAAAATAGTTCGGCTGTACTGATAACTAAAAGTGACGTGTACTACAATATATATATTCATGGCCTCTCCTCACGAGAATTCCCCCTCTATCCTAAAGTTTATTTTTTTAACCCTCGTGTAACGTGTTTCGTTAATTGGTCCTCTCCTAACCACGCTGATAAACAAACATCCTCACCGGTCAGTCTCATTTTTTATTGTTTTTTAATTTTTTATCGCACCGCTTGGTCATCTTTTTATCGATCAATAGAAATATCTGCTAATAAAGAAAACGACCGACTTCATTAACGACGCCAATGACGTGTCAAATTATCATTGGTCGGGGAGTTGACATCCGTCCCATTTATAAAAGGTCAATGGACCAGCAATTTCTTATCCAAACTTTACACGCCACAGAAGCGTGTGCTATAGCCTTCAGCGCAAAGTCCCATGCATCAAATCTCAACGTCCATTTCATCAAGTGGGAAGTTTTTTGATTGATGATAATTCATTAAAATTAATTGTGTAAATTGCTTGGAAAATTTTTGGGTTTGGTTGTAAAATTGCACAAGTGGATCCGACTTTGTGGACCGACTCCAACCCGAAACCCACGTTATAGAGTTGTTTTATCATTTATAGCATGGAGTCGTAACGTTACACCATGAGTCGTTTTTTTTAGCAGACTACAATTAGCGGTTACAGTCACAATTATAGTTGTGAATATATATTTTGTTGTAGCTTATGACTTACGTAAGTTTAAGCTTAGTTGCATTAATTTATAATCAACATAAACCGCAACATTAATGATTTAAGTTGTAACTATAGTTTCTGTTAGGGATATTTGCTGTTTAGACACTAATTATCATGAAATGCAATTTAATAGTTAATAGAAATCGGAAAAGAACAGAAAAATTAAACAGGGTTAAAGAACATAGCCTGATGATCGAAGCGTGTTAGGCACTGTCCCAAGAATCTAATTGTCCCCTCTCGTACAGGGCTACACGACAATGGATTCTGGAGATACTACGACCCTCATGTTGGAAACTTACCAACTTTAAAAGTTATAGCAAGCAGATAAATCCGAATAAAATAAATAAGAGATAAGAAAACCAGGCCTGACGGGAGCAGTCGTGTAATCACTGTCCTAAAAGATTGAGAACCCGCCTATCACCCTGGCGCAAATGGTTCTCTCCTCCCTAGCGGTAAAAGCCCCCGGAAACGGCCGGCATCCGTACTCGGGCGAGAGTACAGAGCTTCAGCTTAGATGAAGAAGATTGCCCAAAAAATTAATAACAAAATTTATAAAGGGGAAAAACAATTTTTCTTTAAACCAGAGGAGAGGAGAAAAAACTTTATTTTCTTATGTTTTAGAATGTGAATAAGGATGTATTTATAGGGTTGAGGGAGAGAGGATTCTTTTTAATTTTCCGATGCGGGACTAAAACACAAAGGCAAAATTATCTTTTCTTAATAAATATCCAACAGCCCTCCCCCCCCCAAAAAAAAGGTAATATTGACTGAAAACTCAAAATCAATAAATAAATCAATAAATCACAAAAAGAAAATAGGTTAGGCAACCTTACGTATCGTGGATTCGGGAGAGGTAGCTTTCGGCTTTGAACATTTTCTTAGTGAGTTCATCGCCACCTAATGGACATAATGGACTAAGCCTTGAATTAGGCCCATTGAATTAGGTATTGATAAAAAAACACACAATACATCTTCATCTATTGAGCAAAGCGGGTTGAGCGGTAAAGACCATGCTCACAATAAACCAACTCATGAGAGTTTCTAGGGGTTAGCCCAGCCCCCCCCCCCCCCCCCCCAACCACGGTCATCACGGTTCCTCTCACGTAGCTAAGTCCTCTAAGGATACTATAGCTGGATATCATACCCTCCACAATACATAATACACACGTTGGACTTATTAAGAGTAAAACTCAGTCTAGCCAGTTGTATCATAAGAGCATCGTCATCATAGAGAAGGGGTAGTAGCACAAGCTACATAGTGATATATGAGTATATCTAGGTCGATGCTCCACACGAGTGTCACTAGTCCAGTTTGTTTCTACCACATTGAACCAACATTGGGACTACATCTCCAAATAAGGGTTGGGTTGCCGCTGTCAGTGACCTCATCTATGTGCTTAACCTCATCTCCCTCGATGAATCCAGAACCACACTCCTGGATAGACCCTTTGTCAAAGGGTCAGCAAGATTCTTTTCACAAACTTTACAAAGTCTAGAATCATAACTTTGCCTAGCAGGCGTTGTATTTATTTATCAAGTTCTTATTTTGTAATTAGTCCATCATATTGTTTGAAATTGACATTAGGTCATGGTCTATGATCATAAAAGATCATAGTCTATGTCTGAAGATGTAAACACATAGTGTTTGTGCAGATTAGGATTTGACCTTAATATCTGAACATTTCAAACTAATGTGGAACTAAAAAAACTACAGTTATACATTTACATGCATGCATATGCACATACATGAATGTAATTAATAATAGATACATGCAAAGCATTAAAGAGAACCTTATAATAGGATTTCGTATCTTAAAATATATTTCACTACATATGCATAATTTTTTTTTTTAAATTTTCTATTATAAGAGGTTGCAAATTTGGTTGCCTTCTAAGGAGACATTCCAAATTTAAATCGGTTGCCTACAAATGAGACCTTCCAAATTTAAAT